TTTTCATATGGTGTAAGTCTAGTAGAACTAAATTCTCTTGTGGATTAGTCTCTTTCCGTAATGTTTTAAACTCATTGAAGCACTCTCAGGGCATATTAGGAATTGAGCTGAAAGTTGCAGGTTCAACCTCCCAATGCGAAGTCCAAATCGAGTAATCAGGTTGAAATCCTCAATGATATAAATCATATCTTTCTTTTTTAGGTGTAAAGTATGATTGATTCCTATGTTTTGAGCATGAAAATCAAAATATGCCCATAGAAAGGTAGGATGGAAGTTGCAATGCTGCAACCATGAATGTCTAGACGCCGTTCAAGAACTCCTGCATGATCCCTTTTCTATCTGGATAAATTCTATTGTACATTCACAATATTGATGTATGAATATTCATGTATACCTTCAAACATGAGAATAATACATTTAGTTGAATACTTTGCCTTTAATTATTATAGTAGATCTACTGACAGAGTTGTAAAAAAATTTAATTAAACTTGGCAATAACTAACACATTTTCAAAGGAGTGAACATTTTAGATAGATTTGAAGTTAGAATGTTAACGACCGACTGAGGTTGTTAGGGTTGTGGATGATTTATAATCAACAAAAATTTATCATATTTAACCCTTAATTGTGGCTATCGCTGTAGCAACACCAACTCTTTCACGAGTATGTTTCTTTTACAATTTATCTTAAGTGTAAATCCAATGATCCACCCAAGTACTCGCGCCCAAGATGTCTCTTACAAGATTACTTTTGCACTTCTAAACCAATTCTGAGAATGAGGTGTTTCATAAGATGTCACAATTTTCATTTCTTCCTCTAATGGAAAATTAAATTTCCATTGCCAAAATAAAAATTAATTTTTTTTATTAGAGGAAGAAGTCAAAACTTTTACATCATATGAAATACTTCATTCTCAAAATTTATTTAGAGGTGTGTAAGTAATCTAGTAAGAGTCATTGTTGAGAAGAGCATAGTTAGATTTATGATTGGTTTTTCACTTGGAGACAAAATATAATACAAATATATCTATGTGAGGGCTAGTGTAACTACAATGTTATAAAATATTAAAGAGAGACGTTTTAATGCATTGTGAATCCATGTTCAACAAATTAATGATCTTCGACAAAAAAAAACATTACTAAAATTTTAATGATTTTAATTTTGGCATTGGAAAAAGAGTGAATCGTAATAAATGACCCAAGTTTGCACAAAAAATTTTAGATCAAATTTCTTTCGAGCCGACCACAATTAAGCTCGAAGTTGAAACACAAACAACCTACTGAGGTTGTTAGAGCTATCGAAGATTGGTAATCTGTCTGAAATCAGATTTAATATTGTTTGTCACCATAGCTACACCACTTGTCTGAAAAATTTTTCAAATTTTCAGATTTAATATTGTTTGTCACCATAGCTACACCAAACTCTGTACAAGTTTATTCTTTTGCATTTTATTTTTTAAGTGGAAAGTCAGTCATTAATCTAAGCATTCTCGTCTCTACGAACCCTATACATAATTGACTGTGCACCTAAAAATACCTTTTTTGAAGAAAATATTTCATATGATATAAAATTTTTCACTGCATACTCCAATGGGTAAGTCTAATTTTCATTCCTAAAATGGAAATTCACTTCAAAATCTAAATTATCAGTTCCAAAATGGAGATTCACTTCAAAATCTTATCTCTATAGCCAAAATGAGAATTATGGCATTGAAAATTAGATTTTGAAGTGAATTATTTATTTTGGAAATGGAAAATTAGATTTCAAAGTAAATTTCCACTTTAAAAATTGAACTTTGACTTCACAAAAAAAGAAACAGTGAATACACTTTACAACATATGAAATATCTTCTTTTAAGAAAATATGTTCAGATGTGAAATCAATCACGTAAGGGGTTGCGAGGACGAAAATGCTTAGTTCAATAGTTGGTTTTACAACTAGAAACAAAATATGAAACAAATATGCCAATGAAAGGGTTGAAGTAGTCACAGTTGCACACCATATTAGAAAGAGTGCCTTAACAGATTTAATGATCTTCGACATACCTAACATCAATACAATGTTAAACGATCTAATTTCAATTTGAGCCAAGGTTATTTCGAAAGAAATTTGATCCAAAATTAATTTTTGATTGATTGTCATTTTTCTCACTAAATTCATAGACCTACCCTACTTGAAAAATTAGATTGTGAATCAATCCTACTAAATTTTGATTCAACGCATTATGGATGACATTTAAAATGATCAACCCATCTAAGTTGATTATCTCCAATCCAGATAACGAACTACAACCTATTCATGTTTTTAGGACTGTCAAGAATCGATAAGCGGTGAACATTGACACAAATTTTACCTCTGATCTTATCTTCCACTGTAGCTACATTAACACTTTCACGAATATATTTCTTTTACAATTTCTCTTCAAATGTAAAGCCACTGTTAAACCAAAGTATTCTCTTCTCTACAACTTTTAACTAGTTTATTTGGTCACCTCCAAACATACTTTAAGAAGAAGAGACTTCATATGATATATGAGTGTTCATTTCTTCATCCAGTAAGAAATCTAATTTTCATTGTTAAAATGAAAATTTGATTTCCCTTTGAAGGAAGAAATGAACACTTAAACATCATATGCTTCTTCTCAAATATATATTTGGGGGTGTTCAAGTAAACTAGTTAAAAATGAAATGGACATGAGAACACGTAGGTTTATGATTTGTTTTATAGTTGGAGCTTCTTCTCAAATATATATTTGGGGGTGTCCAAGTACACTAGTTAAAAATCAAATGGACACGAGAACACGTAGGTTTATGATTTGTTTTATAGTTGGAGCTTCTTCTCAAATATATATTTGGGGGTGTCCAAGTACACTAGTTAAAAATCAAATGGACACGAGAACACGTAGGTTTATGATTTGTTTTATAGTTGGAGCTTCTTCTCAAATATATATTTGGGGGTGTCCAAGTACACTAGTTAAAAATCAAATGGACACGAGAACACGTAGGTTTATGATTTGTTTTATAGTTGGAGCTTCTTCTCAAATATATATTTGGGGGTGTCCAAGTACACTAGTTAAAAATCAAATGGACACGAGAACACGTAGGTTTATGATTTGTTTTATAGTTGGAGCTTCTTCTCAAATATATATTTGGGGGTGTCCAAGTACACTAGTTAAAAATCAAATGGACACGAGAACACGTAGGTTTATGATTTGTTTTATAGTTGGAGCTTCTTCTCAAATATATATTTGGGGGTGTCCAAGTACACTAGTTAAAAATCAAATGGACACGAGAACACGTAGGTTTATGATTTGTTTTATAGTTGGAGCTTCTTCTCAAATATATATTTGGGGGTGTCCAAGTACACTAGTTAAAAATCAAATGGACACGAGAACACGTAGGTTTATGATTTGTTTTATAGTTGGAGCTTCTTCTCAAATATATATTTGGGGGTGTCCAAGTACACTAGTTAAAAATCAAATGGACACGAGAACACGTAGGTTTATGATTTGTTTTATAGTTGGAGCTTCTTCTCAAATATATATTTGGGGGTGTCCAAGTACATGATCATTCCTATCAAGCTCAATTGAGGCTACACATTTTGGGACCAGATATGTGCCTTGTGATCCGACCCCAATTATGTAGATATTTTATATTCCAATAGATTGCCAAAAACTTGGCCCGATTTATATTTTAGCGACTAGTGTGAACAAAAAAAAATGATCTAGGAAAAAAAATAAGCATTCACACTAGGGTTACTATGCAAGTATAAGTATCGTTTCAAGTAATATAGAGCTTTCTTTAAAAACCTCAGTATCGTTCCCACAAGGAAGTTGTAACTTTCGAAAATGACATAGAAAAACTTCTATTAAAACTACAAAAACAATTAATAGAGAAAAATGTTGAAATACCTTGAAAAGATTAAAACTAAATATATGCAAGATTTAATTCTAAGCAGAAAGTAAGTGCAAATTTTATAACTTAACACTTTTAAAAAGAGTTCAAATGACATGGAAAAGATCTTTCCACTTGTAAAGAGATCATAATAAATGTAGGATTTGAATATTTAAAAATATAAAATGTTGTATTATGATAAATAGGAGCATACATATTCTTTACCCTCACTCGATTCTAGCAAAGAACATTAGCTAACCTTAAGTTTGTTTCAGCTTGTGTAGTAGCGCTGAGTAGATTCTGGCCTCTCACTTCTAGATTACCCACTGTTCCCTCTCTATAGGACCTACTAGGGGGGTTCCAAACTCAAGATCGAATTGATAAAAGAATCTGGTCTTTCACCCTAAAAATATCAATTATACACCCATCAAAGCTTATTTTCTTATCTATTTGCGTTGGAGCTTCTTCTCAAATATATATTTGGGGGTGTCCAAGTACACTAGTTAAAAATCAAATGGACACGAGAACACGTAGGTTTATGATTTGTTTTATAGTTGGAGCTTCTTCTCAAATATATATTTGGGGGTGTCCAAGTACACTAGTTAAAAATCAAATGGACACGAGAACACGTAGGTTTATGATTTGTTTTATAGTTGGAGCTTCTTCTCAAATATATATTTGGGGGTGTCCAAGTACACTAGTTAAAAATCAAATGGACACGAGAACACGTAGGTTTATGATTTGTTTTATAGCTCGAGACAAAATACAAAACAATTGTATCCATGAAAGTATTGGTGTAGCCACAGTGGCATACAATATTAGAGGGACACGTCTTAATGAATTCAACACTTAATAAACTAAATCCTTCTTTTAGCCAAACACCCACTTAGCCAAACATTGAGGATCTCACCATCGTCTTATAAAATTTTCTTTTTAAGTCTGAGCAGTATTTTCTATCTCATAATATGTCACTTCAATTCACCACAATAGGGTTAACCCATT